TCAATCCACTTTTACCAACTGTGGCTTAATAATATTATTATTAATATATATTAATAGAGTATTAATATACTCAACTGCAGCTTAATAATGTCATGCCCTACACCAGTCGTTCAGCTACAACAGAACCACAAACGCAGCTAATAGAGAACCAACTAGACACATTAGAAATATACCAGGCTTCATTAAATATCAGCCCCTCTTACAACTCAAGCAACTGTCTCAAAAAGCAACTGAGCGAAGCAAGGATGACAGATTTCAGATCAGGTATTCATAAGGGTTCCTGCATCATCTGCCACTGAGACGGATGGGAAAGATCTTGGTTTGAAGCCAAGTCCTGTTCCTTTAGGCCATGAGCCCAATAGGGACATCTAGAGGAGAAGAAATTAAAGAACAAAATTGAAAGCAGTTAGCATGAAGAATATCTCAGCAAATCATTGTTTAAAAATATTATATTAGAAATTTCCAATGGAGATCATCGGCCTAATACTATGTTGATTGATTGATTTGTTTGTTTATTTATTTTTTGTTACCTTTGTTTACCTATTTTTTACCTAAACTTCAAAAATATTCAAAGTAGGCTTATAGTTCTAAAATATTAATCATTAAAAAATATTAATAATAAACATTGCACCTGGAATATAATTATAAATATATTATAAATATTTTATTTATTTTATTAATTTAATCATATTTCAAATTATATTAAGCAGTGATTTCTTAATGAGTTTTTTACTTTAAAAATGTATCTTGAATATGATATTTTTTTATCACTGGTTTTTTACTTTTTTACCTGTTTATACAGTTTTAGAGAAGAAATCTGCCTAAATATACTTGAATTAATTAAGATTTGATGTCTTAATATATCTTGAAGTATTGTTTCAAACAAATGTAAGATATTTTAACTGGAAATTTAGACAAAAATCCTCATTAAGTGTTTGTGGTGCACTAACATTTGACAAACACAAAATGTTAAAAAAAAATTCAAATCCACATTTTTAACAGTAAATATAAATAAGTAAATACAAATAAAACAGCAATATATTTTACAGTAGAAATATTGGATATTTAAAATGTAAAACATTGGAATATAATTTAAAGTGTAAAACAGTATTTGTAAGTCTTGCCAAATTTTAACAAAGAAAATACACAACATTTCAAGTTTGTTATGACATAACTAACCCAAACATTACATTATAAAGAGATGCCTTGTTTTGATTAGATAATTTGACCAATTCAGATCTTCGTCAGGACGTTGTGTTGTTGCCATGAAGTAAAACTGAACTACAGACCACTGAAGGGTGCAGGGATATTCAGGGCGGGACGAGCAGCTGCTGAAATCATGGAGGCCCGGCCGTAGTTGCCTAGAGAGACTATTAAAGGGGTCATATGATGCGATTTCAAGTTTTCCTTTCTCTTTGGAGTGTTACAACAATAATGTACAGTATTTGAAAAATAATGTGTTTTTTGAACATTAAAGCATGTCAACATATTCTGTTACACCAAATACGCAAAATATTGATCTTTAAAAAAGCATCATATGACACCTTTAATTAAAAGGCTTCTAGAAATTCTAGAAACAGTATTTGTAGTAGGGGTTGAACGACTTCTGCTTTTTTGAAGTCGACTTTTATGTGATGAAAGTCGAGTCGAAGTCGACTAGTCGCTGATGACGTCATTAATGAACAAATAAGTCTGGAGCTGTGA